AGAGAGAGAGAGAGAGAGAGAGAGAGAGAGAGAGAGAGAGAGAGTAGATGGACACACACGAAAAGCAGCAGCTGAGTGAAGGTCCAGTCCGGCCATTGAAAGAACCGACCACTGAATGAGTGACCAACCCGGCCTGAGGCCGGAAAGATATACCGGCCTTGGTCCAGGCCGGAGTAACCCGGTACCGGACCGGGGTTAGGCCGACGGCCTGAAACTGGTCGGGCCCCACTGCCGGACCGGAAGGGTACCGCTACATGATCCTCGGACCTGTAAATGGATCAAGCGATACATCAACACGCTATCCGCTGGCATAGCGGAAACCCAGAGGAACAGCAAAGAAACAATCCTAAATGCGGAGCAAGCTCCGCGCAGGAAAGAGATGCAATGCAGACTAAGCCTCAAGCTTAATCTATACAACAATGTCTGGTCTGAGTCGACCCAAAAAGCAAAAAAATGTCTGACCTGTGTCGGCCAATAAAGAGAGAAATGTCTGACCTGTGTCGGCCAAGAAAGAGGTCTCCTAAGCCAATGTGGCTGAGTATAAGTCAACACCTGAGCCCTAAAGGCTAAAGAGTAACTAGATCAATATCCACACTGAAAAAGAATGTGGCAAAGTCTCACGTGCCTTGTACAAGTACACAATAGCCGAATAGAAGGGAGGGAGCTCAGTCACATGGGAAAGGTAGGGATGGGTGGGAGGGCGGCAAGTACAACTCTCAGAGAAAACTCCAAGGGGTTACCCACACAACCATATGAAACATCATCAGGCTCAGAGGGAGAATAAAAGCACGACACCAGGCTCAATGGAAACCATCAAACGGGCACTGCCAGCTGAAAGGAAAAGGGCACTCACACAAGGGAGCACACAAGCGAGCCTGTAAGGATTGGGGGGGGCTATGCCGGCATAGACATATGGCCAAGGGCTGCGAGCAAAGAAAAATGTACACTCCAGAGGAGGGCGCAGCATAGGGTAAGGCAGAAGGGCGGCAGAGGAACACACCCACATCGTCAGGGAAAACAGGGGTCAACATGCGACTGAAGGGTAGACTCGAGGATGGTCGATGGATGGGAATGGTGGAAACTCCGTGGCCGAAAAAGTGAAGTAGTCCAACTGATGAGTCTCCAGACTGAAGTCGAGTCGAATTAGCCAAGATGAAGTAGGCGTAGCGCAGAAACCGAGTAGAAGCCCGGAACACTGCGACAGGTACTCTGGTACTGAAGAGAAGCACTGAGGTCAAAAGTCGAACGTAGAAGCCGAATGTAGAATCAGAATGTAGAAGCCGAATGTAGAAGTCGAAACCGGGAGCTGCTGCATAGGTGTCCAAGAATGGTAAAAGATAGGGAGCGTAAAGGGGGTTATAGATCAGTCACGGTAGCAAGAAGGAAGTCGATGGGTACGCTGAGGTCGAGAGGAATCAACTGCAACAACAGGCGGAACCACATCCACAGGGGAAGGGGGACCTGAGGTAGGTGCCGGTGGAGTTGGAGGACCCATCGATGGAGGAGGGGGTATGTTAGTGGTCGCTGAAGTAGATGGGTCAGTAGAAGGACGAGAAGTAGGAGGGGAGGATGATGAAGGGAAAGGATGAGCACGATCGTAAGCACACACGAAAGTCATGGCATGCTTCAGGTGCTCGAGAGGCTCCCAACTAGACTCCTTGTCAGGGTAACCCTTCCACCGAACAAGATACTCGAGGCGGGGAGGGTCATCATCAGTCATATGCCGGGACGCGATACCAGAGACGACAAACTCCTCATGACCCTCAATGATGATGGGAGAGGGGCGAGGGTAAGGTCGATCGTGGAAATCAGGGGGAGACCGTCTGAAGGGGCGCAATAGAGATACATGAAACACATCATGTAGGTTAGTGCGATACATAGAATCGGGGAGCTTCAATTTGAAGCTCCCCTGACAGTCATGATTAGGTCAGGCGGGTGAAAAAATAGTGCATGGACCGATATATCGACGTCTGAATTTCCGAAGCGTGTCGGCCTCGGGCTGGAAGTGACGTGCATCGACGAGGACTTCGTCGCCAACTTTGAAGGGGTGATCGATGAGGGAACGGTTGGCGCTAGTAGCCATGCGAGTCTGGGAGTCAGCAATGCTCTTGCGAGCGTTGCTGAGAATCTCATCCATCTCCTTAACCCAGTCATCAAGGGCGGGGCATTTAGTGTCAGGATGGATCTGAGATGGACGAAGGAGATCAGATGGGACACGAGGGTGATATCCCAAGTCACAGTAGTAAGGAGACATGCCGGTGGMWGGTGAAATAGCATGGTTATAAGCAATCTCYGCATGGGCGAGATGGAGGTCCCAATCAGAGTCATTCTCAACAAACTTCTTGAGAATATTCCCAAGAGTTTTGTTRGTGACCTCGGTCTGTCCGTCTGACTAGGGATGGTAAGAAGAGGAGAAGCGAAGCTTAGAGCCGTAGATCTCGTGGAGTCCACGCCAGAAGTGGGAAGTGAAGCGGGGATCACGGTCAGAGACAATACTAGTAGGAAGACCGTGATGAATGGCGATGCGGTTGAAGTAGAGTGAGGCGATGTCTTTAGCTGAGCTAGCATACTTGCAAGGGAGGAAGTGAGCATGCTTAGTCAGCCGACAAAAAACAACAAAGATGGCGTCATGGCCTCGTGGGGTAGGGGGGCGAAGGGGACCCATGAAGTCCATGGAGACAGACGTCCAACGCTTAGCAGGAATGGGTAAGGGCTGAAGAAGACCATAGGGGGGATGATTGGTAATATTGGCCTCTTTGCAGATCTTGCACGTGCGGACATACTCCTTAACGAAGGTGCGGCGGTGCCTCCAATAGTAATGGCGGTAGAGGCGGTCAAGAGTTTTGTAGACACCGAAATGACCGGTGGCACGCTGATCATGGCTCTCAGCGACTGCCCGGACACGGAGCTGGCCGGTAGAAGGCACACATAAACGAGGAGTACGAGGATGATTGAGTCCAAGCCAGTACAAGAGTCCAAAGGGGTCGAGCTGGAAGTTAGGAACGGTCTTGCCAGCCTGTAAGTCAGCGTAGATCAACTGAAACTCAGAACACTGGGGGAAAGCACGATGGTACTCATCTAGGAAAGCGGGATGGATAATGGGAGTAGAGACAGAAAGCGCAGAGAGCTGCAGATCATCACACTTGAGGTCAGGGCGACGGGATAGGGCATCTGCGACACGGTTGTTCTCGCCGGAGATCTTCCTGATCGTGAAGTCCAACTCGGAAAGATCACGCCCCCAACAAGCCTGACGAGAAGTGAGTTTAGGCTTCGTCTGAAAGGCGGTGAGGACAGAGTTGTCCGTGAGCACGGTGAAGGTATGACCGTGAAGATGATGACGCCACTTCTTAATAGCGTAAACCAGCGCAAGAACCTCACGCTCTTCAATAGTATAGTTACGCTCCGTGGGAAGTAGCTGTCGAGAGAGATAAGCAACTGGACACTCTCCATCTCGAGACTCAACTGTACCGTCATCGACGACGTCAGGAATATATGGCGGGGGGGCTCCTGTAGGGGTAGGCTCAATGGTTGCGAGGTGAGCCGCAGTCACTAGAGGTGGAGGAGGGAATCGGCGAATGCGCGGGAGTCGAGACTCCGTGGAATCAAGTGGAGTAGAAGGGGCTGAGTAAATCTGAGATAAGACAGCTCCAATCGCAAAGTCTGAAGTGTCTGTAGTGACAATGAATGGACGAGAGTAGTCAGGGAGGTGTAAAACGAGGGCTGACGTGACAAGCCGCTTGAGGGAGCAGAAGGCATCCTCATGAGCCGGGGTCCAATGAAAGGGTAGACGTCCACGAGTCAGAGGGGTAAGCTGGGCGGTATACACCACATAGTTTTTAAGAAAATGACCATAGTAGTTGGTCAACCCAAGAAAACTACGTAGCGCAGGAAGAGAGGTAGGAGTGGGCCAGTCGACAATGGCCTGAATCTTCGAGTCGTCCATGTAAAGTCCGTGCTCAGAGACCTGATGCCCCAGCAAGTCGACTTTGGTTTGAGCGAAGCAGCATTTGGAGAGCTTCGCATAGAACCCATGGTCGCGTAATCGCTGGAGGACAGTGCGAAGGTGGAACAGATGCTCCTCTAAGGTACGATTGTAGACCAGGATGTCGTCAATATAGACTAGAACCGAGTCCTCAAGAACGTCTTGGAACATCGTGTTCATAGCCGCCTGGAAGGTGGCTGGAGCATTACGGAGACCGAAAGGCATGACGGTAAATTCGTAGTGCCCAAAACGAGAACGGAAAGCGGTCTTAGGCTGGTCCTCCTCGGCTACGCAGATCTGGTGATATCCGCTACGAAGATCGATCTTCGTGAAAAAGTGGTGGCCGGAGAGGCAATCGAACAGATCATCCGCGCGGGACATAGGATAACTGTTTCTTGCTGTATACTCATTGAGACCGTGGTAGTCGAGGCAGAGGCGGAGGGTGTCGTCCTTCTTGCGATCGAAGAGGACAAGGGCACTCCATGGGGACGTACTCGTTTTAATGAAGCCCTGACGAAGCAGCTCGTCAATTTGGCGTTTAAGTTCCTGGGTTTCGGGGACCGAGATGCGATATGGGGCGCGATGCTGAATATGGTAGTTAGGTTCGAGCCGGATGCGGTGCTCCATATCACGCATAGGAGGAATGCTGCTATAGGAGACATATGGAGGGAAAACATCTCGATACTCGCGAAGGAGGGCCACAACGCTAGGTTGCAAAGACGATAGGAGGTTGTCAAACTTCTCGGCAGCAGCAGCATCGGAAGCAGGGGTGGAAGGAGTCGGTATGGGAATAGGTACCGATGGCGCCTCCGTGGTAAGGGATGCAACAAGGTGAGATGAGTTAGCAGGGGTGAAGGAGGATGAGGAGGCTGAAGGATCAGGAGGGTCGGGAGGCTCGGGGGGTGGTGGGTCGAGCTCGACCAGCTCAGCGTCCTTATGCATGTAGTTACAGACAGGGAGATTCGTGATGTCGACAATGTAGAGTTCGGCATCAGGCTGACGAAGAATGTGGTGAAACTGGGTAGGTGTCAAAATGGAGACATTGACAGGAGAGAGGGGTGTAAAGTCAGATTTGCCCAACAACGGAATGCGATATTGCTTTCCATCCTTGACGTTGAGGACGAGGTCGTTGTGGATCCAATTGGGGCCAGAATGGGCGAACTGATGTGAGTAGGAGGTGCCGAGAACAAGGTCGCATAGGGTTTCCATGACGTCGAAAGTCCACTGGTCATGGAACCGAGGGGCCTTGCGAAGGCTATGTGGCATCCGCAAGGGGAAGGAGAATGGGGGAGCAGGCACCACACAGTCGACGAAGGATTTGGCCTGATTGTCGCCAAGCGTGACAGTGACAATGGAAGGGTAGGGGGATGTATAGAGAGATGCCTCCTTAACTACGCGAAGATGAATGAAGTCGCCAGTAGAGCCAAAGTCCCATAGTGCGCGATACACTCTAGTAGAGGTCCCGAGGCGCACTAGAATAATCAGTAAGGTGCGATTGGGGTTGTGTAGGCGCTGAGACATCGCAGACAGGGCATGCTCTCTGAGGCGGAGACGTTCCTGGTGGACCTTAACGCACTCGAGGTCCAGGAAGTCAATGATATCCTCGGCTGCAACAAGGGAAGCACTGCAGCGGCCCGTGCGTAGAGCACGCCTAGTAGGAGGACGAGGAGGAGGAGGATCGCGAGAGACGCTAGGCGAAGAAGGGGAGGGTGCACCGGTGTCGCTAGGATCGACCAACGATGAGGTCAAGCCCGAGTCCTCAGAAAGAGTAGCAAGTGGCGCGAAGGTAGACTCACAAGTAGGTATGCCTGCTATTGTAGGAGGATCAGGGGGATGGGAGATCACCGCTAGTTGGCTGCGGCGCTAGAGTTCGAAATCGGGGGGTCGGGCTGAGGGCGGGACTGCTGAGCAAAGTGACGCTGGAGGGCGTCAACGTAGGGGCAGGTGGACGGAGTGTGACCAGGTAGGCGGCAACGACTACATATACCTCGTGTACGGAAGTCCTCACTCTCTGCGATAGTCAATCGGGCCCGGGGGAAGACGTAGCCTAATGAAAGGGGCTGCTGTGTGGCCGATGAGCGGGTCCTCGATGAGGAAGACTGGCACTGCCTGAGGAAAGTAGAGAAGGCGCGGGCAAGATGCTCGTCCTAGTCGGGATCGTCACCATCCACAAGAGACTGGGGGTCATGTCCCTGGTCCGGGTCACTACGGGATCCATCCGAACCAGTACCCTCCTCAACGCTCGATGACTCGCGGAGCATGGTCTGGACATGGCGGAAAAAGGTGCGTCCAGGAACTCGGCGGGGGCCGCGCGAGACGTGGAGAACTGTTGGGGGCGAGATGTGCCAGGGGCAGACGTGGCAGCGGGAGATGCAGCACCAGGCTGAGAAGTGAAGCCCACAAGAGGTGCATAGGTGAGTTGGATGGCCCTGGCAATGTAAAAGGCCTCAGGGAGGGTGTGGACAGTGTATGCCAGCATCTGAAGCTGGAAGGGTTGGGGTAACCCGGCACGGAAACGCTGGATCATAGCGTCATCGGCTATGAGGTAGGGGAGAATCTAGGCGCGAACGCGGTGGAATGCCGTGATGTACGACTCTAAGGCATTGTTGTCACCAAGCCATCTGATCTCAGCGACCCGTGTGATCGGGTCACGGGTAGGCGTCAGGCGAGAGAAGTACTGCTGGAGAAAATCACGAAACTCCACATACGTCATACTCACGTGAATGCCCTGCTGAGTACAAAGGGCGAGAAAGTCGCGCCAAGTGGAAGCCACTCGAGCTGTGAAGCGGGCTAACATCTCCGTAGGCCACAAGTCCATGTTTACACCATGGTACCGAAGTTGCTCCTCGGATGTGGTGATCCAGCCCTGGAGTTCGGAGGCCTTGCCATCGAACTGGGGGGGTCTGTCAGGGTGGATCCGAGGTACATATGGCAGCGGCTGATAATGAGGAGGGAGGGGAAGGGCACATTGCGACAAGAGGGCAGAGGAACTAGGGGCACCCGCAGGAGCACTAGACAAGGCCGGAAGCTGAGGCCAAGGGCCATGAGACATCATGGTGGCCAGTGGAGGAAGAGTAAAGTGCATCACAGCGGCCTATGTCTGATGCTGCCGGTAGATAAAAGGGCAGCAGGTTGTGCCGCGAGGTGGGGAGGCAAGGGTTGACCTCCTTGGAGCCGGCGGATGTGGTCGTGGGTCATGGCAAGTTGGCTTTGGAGCTCAACATTTTGTGTCCTGGGTGTCATAGGGGGTGGGGGGGGAGGTAAAGAAATGGGGGGTGGTGAGGTAGGTGTCGTGGAAACTAAAATTGAGGAGGTGGCAAGACATGATGCCATGGTTCTTGAGGAGGAAGGTGCGGAGGTGGAAACTTGGGAGGAAGAGATGGCTGCAGAAGAAGGGTGGGTCTGGGGAGAAGGCATGCCACCCGTGGAAGAGACAAGTGTGTAGATAACGCCAGCTGAAGAAGGAGAGGAAGCGGGCAGGGATGCGGATGACGCCGGTGTGGCGGAAGACTGCGGGATGCCAAGCTGGGGAGAGGGGAGGTGTGATCCACTAGGAGGATGTGTGTGGGGAGAGGGGGGGGGGGGACGAGAGAAGGGGTTTGTGGTGGCACGCGACTCCATCTATGACATCCGGTCCGGCAAAGTATCGAAATTGGTTTGGATGGCCATGAATTTGGCCTCGAATGTGGCCCGCATGTGTTGGAGAAGGGCCAGTACCGGGTCTGATTGGGTGGCGGGGCCCTAACTGGCGGGCGCATGGGTGGTGATCTCCGCCGGGTCAGACATGGTGTCACGACCAAGAAACGCAAGGCCTTCGCTGATGGAGCGGGAGGGACTCGCTAGCTCAGTACTCTGCATAGAGTCAGGGGATGAAGACAATGAAGAGGGGGAACTGGGGCGCTCAATGGCGGCGATCGACGTGTCGAAGCGAGCGAGTCGATGTGCAGCACGGGCGTCTCGGGCGCGGTTTTGGAGTATGCGCTAATGGTTGTCACGGGGAGCCAGATTGGCATGCAAAAAAGGAGCCAAGGAAGGAAGGCGTCTAGAAATGAGATCAAGCAAACTTCCGGAATTAAATCAAGAAATTCCGGAATCGGATTGAGGGAGGAAGGGGAAAATTTCCAATTGGAGCAGGGAAATGGGAAGAAATTTTCAAAGAATAATGTGGGATATAGAGGAGAGCATGTATAAGACAATCACGAATTCAAACTAAAATTCAACAATTATTTGGACATAAATTCAGAATTTAAAGAAATTAAGCAAAATTCAATGAATTGCAAAAATATTCGTAAACCTTTTCGAAAGTTTGGGGAGATAATAGAAGAGGTAGAGATGAGTGCAGAGGAGAATTTTGAATTGAAATGGAAATTTTCTTAACGTATTTATGGAATTAAAAGAATTTCAAGGGTGATTTGAAATAAAATTAGAAGACTAATTCCTAATTGAAAAATTTATTGTAAACTGGCAGAAAGAATTTAATGGCAGTCAAGTAAATTGAATTGGGAGGAATTTCAAAATTATTCAAATGAAATTAATAAATTGTATCGGCATGTTGTAAAATTAAGAAGAATTTGAGAGAATTCCCAAAGAATTCCAAAAGAATTTCAAAAAAAATTGAAGAATTTTGGAGTTTTACGAGGGATAAAAAGTAGAAGTAGAGTGGACATCAAAAGGATTAAAGTTTATGAATTCCGAATTAATAAAAAAGAATTTAAACTAAATTATGAAAGAATTTGATATAAAAAAGAATTTCACGTAACTTTTGAATGAAAACGCCGGAATTAATTCCGTTCACGGCGTTGAAAGAAGAGAGAATGAAGATTAATCCTATCGAATTAGGTCAACGTTCTGCATAGTGGGATGGACGGCATTGTCAAACAAGCACAAAACAAAGATATACGCATCATGCGCGTTAGTAATTTTAGATGATGCGACCAATTGGGTGGGATGGGAGAGGAGGACAGGGGGGATGGAGAGGAGATAGAAAGAGAGGAAAAAGATGAGATCTTTGAGAGAGATCGCAAGAGGAAGGGAGGGGATAAGTAAGAGGGAGATAGATTGACGATACCGCGCTCCCAGTCGACCAGGAGCAATCAAGGTCCTTCCTCCTAGTCGAGGAAGGTCTTCAATCAACCCCTAAAGGGTCTTCTCAATTGTTCCCCCGGTGGAACGACGAGGTCGCCGGATCGAATGCACGCGCAATGAAGGTAAGAGGCCGTGGCAATGATGATGTCGACAATGGCGGTGATGATGATGATGATGATGATGATGATGATGATGATGATGATGATTGCCCGTGAAGATGCCGGTAACCAGCAGCGTCGTCGTGAACGCTTGATTGCCACAAGCCAGTTATCCCTGACACCTCTAGCTTGAAGTCCTAAAACGCTTGAGGGTCGATAGGCCACGGTCTCACAGTTTGTTTTTTTCAAAAAGCGTTGTGGAGGTGTCGGGGGTTATGACCCAGGGAGGATGTCCGACAGACGGCTTTCCGCGCTAGGGTCAGTCCCATTGGCGGTGCAGCGGGCCCACCCACTACCCAGTGATCACACAAGGAAGGAACACACAATCCTCGCAACCCACCCGGGAGTATCGGCCTAGACCGGCGCTACCAGGCCGCTAGCGGCAGGGGTCACCCCTCCCATACTCAGGGCTTCACCTCCCTGTGGCTCCACTGTCGGGAGGCATT